TATATATATTAATTTATCATATTTATTGATTTGAAATTATTTTTTAATATTAATATTTATTAAATGAGTTTTATCATATAGTTTTATTGGTTTGAATTTTTTTAAATATTTCGGGATCAATTTAAAAATTAAATTTGATTTTTTTTTTCATTTTCTTATTTCAGCAACAAATTTCTTCTTCCTTATTCTCGTCACTTTTTCTTTTATTTCTCTCATCTCTCATTTTGAAATTTAAACTCCTCTAAAATATTTGAATCTTTTTCTTTGTAGTGAAGTGATGTTAATAAGATTTAATGTTGTCTTAAATGTACATGGAAAACTATGACAAATTCTTTGAGTATTTTTCTCTTTTTATATTTTCTCCTCACCTAAAAATATTACTAGAAAGGCTATTTACTTAGTTTAGTGGTTGGAAGGGGAGGGATCGGGGTAGTTAAAAGCATGAGAACCTAGGTTCTTCATTGTGACCATCTTTGTAATATTTCCTATATTTACAAAAAAAAAAAAAAAAGGCTATTTACTCCTCCAACAATTTAATATTTTTTTCCTTTAATTTTGAGTTTATGGTAACAAGATTTTTGTTCATTTTTTTGTTCCATTTTCTTTTGTCCATTTCTTTCACCAAGTTTATATGTTCTCCCTTATGTATTATTTTTCTTGACAGAGGTAAATTTGAAGTTTATTTTTTTTACTCATTAGTTTATTGTTTTTGTCTATAAAATTTCATTTTTATCATTCTTTAATTTTATTATTTTCAAAATAGAATATAACTTAACATTTGATTTTAGTTTAATCACTAGTGGAAAAATAGCATATTACGTCACCCCTTTTACGTCAGAAATACTAAAATCCGACGTAAAAAAAACGCAGTGGCATTTTTGTAATTTTTGCGAACTTTTTTACGTCGGACACTACCAGGTCCGACGTAAAAAAGGATGCAAATTTGAATAAGAGAGCGCGAGGCACACCGCGCTCATTCACTCTTCATCATTTTTCATTTTTTTTCTCTCTAAATCCTCTCCCTCTCCTTTGTTACTGAATCGTTTTTTTGTTTTTTGCAGAGGGATGAACTCTTTGTTACTCATTTGCACATTGTTGTTGCTTCTCAGGTATGAATCAAGGTTTCGTTAGCACTTTTCTACT